GCATAACTACAGCAAGGTTGCGTAAACTGACTCCTACATATTTGTTAATCTTATGTATTGGTGTCATATTCTTGCTATATCTTTCACACCAATTAACTCAATATTGTGTTTGGATTAACAGTCCACTCGTCACACATTTTCACATCATTCCCAATAAATGATATTTTCATAACTTGCATGAATGTCGCATTAAAATTACCATTTTTGAATGAACGATTTTAATTGCAAATTAGTAATTGGCATAATGGAAATTCCAACAAAGTGCAATCAAAGAGGAACTTGATCACTCATTGGTGTCGACCTGAATTAAGACTTTCTCCTAACCCTACGAATCTGGGGCAAGTCCTTCTGAGGTTTAAACCGGGGCAAACCACTACAAGGTCCAGACACTGGGGCAAATGGGTTCAGGCCATATCCTGGTATAATCATCGCCAAAGTTCTCATCCCAGAAGAAAGTCCATCAAACACCCGGCAGACTGGGGCAAACTGGTTGAACTTGGGGCAAACTAGCTGATGGTTGAGGTCAACAAGCGTTAAAGGCCTTGGGGCAGAGCAAAAGCACGACTAATATGCAGTCGCTACGCTCACACAATCCATATGCATTGGTTAAATCGCTACGCTCACACGATTAACACGCATTGGTTAAGTCGCTACGCTCGCGCAGTCAACATGCTTTGGATAAGTCGCTACACTCAATGTTTGTAAGTCATCATGACATATCAGCTAGAAGCAAGGTTCTTACAAGAACAAGTATACCACTTATGCAAAGGATCCAACAAGGGGCAGGCTACCCAGAGTTTCGTTTGATTAAGGGAGAGTCCCTTCAACGCTCAATCAAGCACAAGTCATGTCGTTTCAACGCTCATTCTGGAGCAAACTACCTCAAGAATAATTTGAAGCCAATTACCCCAAGGGTCAGTTAATCAAGGTCAAAACCCTTTCCTGACTAAGATTTGCAACAAACCATCTCGAGATCATCTCATGGTATATCTGCGTCCGAATTCCTTTCATGACTTGGAGTTTTGGAACAAACCATCTCGAGTTCATCTCATGGTACAACTGTTTCCAACTTCCTTTCACGATGTGGAATGCTGGAGCAAGCCATCTCGAGTTCATCTCATGGTACAACTGTTTCCAACTTCCTTTCACGATGTGGAATGCTGGGGCAAGCCATCTCGAGTTCGTCTCATGGTATGATTGCTTCCAATTTTCGTTCAAGGAAAATTCCTTCATACACCCAAACTGGGGCAAGTTGAACAACATTGGGGCAGTTACTCAAGTAAGTTTATTCTCGTCAGCAAAAGTTAAGTGTCGGGGAATCATGCCATCACCCCACCAAATAACCTTAACCTCCTGAAAGAGCCTCTCTGTCATTGGGTTTCACCCCCACGACCTAGACCTGATACCTGTCAGAGCTTTGTAACCGAAACAAATCCTTCAAAGTCCAGTTCTCGTCTGGCAAATCATTCTAAAATCCAATCCATTTGGCAACTACCAAAGTCCACCCTCGATGGCACCCTCATGAAACTAAGGTCCAATTTCGTTTGGCAACCACCAAAGTCCAATCCATTTGGCAACTACCAAAGTCCACCCTCGATGGCATCCTCATAAAACCAAAGTCCAAATCCATTTGGCAACTACCAAATCCAGTCCCTGGTGATACCTCCAACAGGAACTTTTATCCCCAGCATATCTGATCGTTGCATTATCATAAGCATGGCATGCATCATCATATCATAATCATATCAAGCATTAACATATCATTTGCATTCGCATCTTGCACTCCCTAGCAGTTGCATCTTAGTTGTATGTTTATGTATCATAACGCATATCATCACTGTCTTCAGCAACATAACATAGCAGCATAGCAGGATCCAGGATCGATTCGCGAGCATCTTGGCCAGTCCTTCATCAAAGTTGGCAATATTTCTCTGCAAAGAGTTGATATCCCACGAGTTCAGGGAATTCTACTCCCCAGCAAGTCATTCTTCAACCATGCAGTTGATGATGATAACCCCCAACAACTATTGCTCTTATGGCTCCCCAAGCAGAGGTTATCTTAAAGAGTTTATGGAAGATTTCTCCCCTGCAGAGTTTGGACAACGTTGTTCCTCTAATAGGAATTTCAGCTCAACTATTCCTCAGCAAAATCATCACTCGAGATACTGCTTTGGTATCATCGAAGAGCCTTAATGGATAAGGTACTGCTTCGACCACCCGAAGAATCTCAAGTGTTTTGTTCGAGATGCTGCTTTGGTATCATCGAAGAGCCTTAATGGATAAGGTACTGCTTCGACCACCCGAAGAATCTCACGTTTTAATCGAGATACTGCTTTGGTATCATCGAAGAGCCTTAATGGATAAGGTACTGCTTCGACCATCCGAAGAATCTCAAGTTTTGTTCGAGATACTGCTTTGGTATCATCGAAGAGCCTTAATGGATAAGGTACTGCTTCGATCACCCGAAGAATCTCAAGTTTTGTTCGAGATACTGCTTTGGTATCATCGAAGAGCCTTATTGGATAAGGTACTGCTTCGACCACCCGAAGAATCTCAAGTTTTGTTCGAGATGCTGCTTAGGTATCATCGAAGAGCCTTAATGGATAAGGTACTGCTTCGACCACCCGAAGAATCTCAAGCTTTGTTCGAGATACTGCTTTGGTATCGTCGAAGAGCCTTAATGGATAAGGTACTGCTTCGATCACCCGAAGAATCTCAAGTTTTGTTCGAGATGCTGCTTTGGTATCATCGAAGAGCCTTAATGGATAAGGTACTGCTTCGACCACCCGAAGAATCTCAAGCTTTGTTCGAGATAGTGCTTTGGTATCATCGAAGATCCTTAATGGATAAGGTACTACTTCGACCACCCGAAGAATCTCAAGTTTTGTTCGAGATACTGCTTTGGTATCATCGAAGAGCCTTAATGGATAAGGTACTGCTTCGACCACTCGAAGAATCTCAAGTTTTGTTCGAGATACTACTTTGGTATCATTGAAGAGCCTCAATGGATAAGGTACTGCTTCGACCACCCGAAGAATCTCAAGTTTTGTTCGAGATACTGCTTTGGTATCATCGAAGAGCCTCAATGGATAAGGTACTGCTTCGACCACCCGAAGAATCTCAAGTTTTGTTCGAGATACTGCTTTGGTATCATCGAAGAGCCTTAATGGATAAGGTACTGCTTCGACCACCCAAAGAATCTCAAGTTTTGTTCGAGATACTGCTTTGGTATCGTGGAGAACCTTATTGGATAAGGGACTGCTTCAACCACCCGAAGAATCTCAAGTTTTGTTCGAGATACTGCTTTGGTATTGCGGAGAACCTTATTGGATAAGGGACTGCTTCGACCACCCGAAGAATCTCAAGTTTTGTTCGAGATACTGCTTTGGTATCGTCGAAGAGCCTTAATGGATAAGGTACTGCTTCGACCACCCGAAGAATCTCAAGTTTTGTTCGAGATACTGCTTTGGTATCATCGAAGAGCCTTAATAGATAAGGTACTGCTTCGACCACCCGAAGAATCTCAAGTTTTGTTCGGGATACTGCTTTGGTATCGCGGAGAACCTTATTGGGTAAGGGACTGCTTCGACCACCCAGAGAATATCAGGTTATCTCGTTCATCTTTTTTGCATCCTGTCATCCCGTTCTGGTATATCCCATCTCTTTGCATTTTTACTTGCTTGTCGGACAAATTTCGGGGTCTTTTTGTATCTAATTGACTTCCACCCTAAAAATGAACGCCATGCAGTTGTTCATTCTCTCAGGTTCAAGGCAATTAGATAGGGGCATCTGTCATACTCCAAATTTGTCCTACCTTTTTTCAAAATTTTTATTTGCACAATTTTGTTTTTAATTTACCTCGCTTATACAGCGTAGCGTATTTTTCAGCAAAAACGAGCATTTTTACCTTTTTTAGCCCAATAAGAGCATGCCACATGGCATTTGTTTTTTGTATATATCTATCATTATTTTTTCATAATTTCATTTTTTTTTATGATAGGTTAATATAATTTTTTTTTATATATTAATTTTAATTAGCTTTGAATTAGAAATTAGGATTTAAATTAAAAATTTTAATTAGATAGATTTAATTTAGAACTTAGTTATAACTTAGAAATTTCAATTTTAAAAAAAATATAGAGTTAGAATTTAATTAGGATTTATATTAAAAATTAGATTAGAGTTTAATTTAGTAATAGTTAATATAATGATTAAAAAAATATGTAATAGAGTTAGGAATGATTATTAATTATTATTCAGAAAAATAAATTAAAAGAAAAATTAAAAAAAAGGGAAAATTGAAATTGATTGAGGACACAGTGGCAATTTGGATTAGGGTTGGATTTTTTTGGGATAAATAGGGTACCCTACACTGTTCACAGGATCCCCAATTCTGAAGGGTAACCCTAGCCGTCAGCTCCAATTACCAAACCCTAAAATCTCTCATCTTCCCCTACCTCCCGCCGTCAAACCCTAACATCACCATTATCTCCCTCCTCCATTTTCGTCCTCCCAACATCTAACCATCCGCCATCTTCCGTTTCTTCACATTTTCGCCGTAACCTCTCACCCTCATCTGGAAAGAGTTGCAGAAAAGGACTCGCAGAACCTCGAGTTTCTTAGCCGTGATTTACTGTTGACTCAAATAACCTCAACACGACAGACCTCTGAGGGAATCAATGCCGGTTTTGACTTGCTTTAAATCTCGGTCTCAGATCGCAAGGTTATGAAGTTACCGTATTTCAAAGATGTGAGTGAAAACACGAATCAGAGGCGCGTATACATAAACCCTCTTTCGCAACCTCACCTCACCACACCATTTACCATCTCCACTCTTATCCCTAATAAAATACCCCACTGACCTAACCCAACCTCTGTCCTAAATCTTGTTTCTTCCAAATTATACCCACACCAGGACAACACGAATTCATATGCCTTTGGAGCATCATCGCATTTGATTCTCCATTAATTATTGGAAGTTCTGGTTTTCTAGTACACTGATGGCTAACCCAAGTAGCAGATCTACACCGACAATGTCCACAGACTCCTTGGAGCAGAAGGGACAAAATATTACTGAATCAAATGCAAGCATAATTCAGTGTCCTTTAAGCCAGCAACATCGTAGCTCTTTAGATGGCCCAGTTTCTATCCTTTGGGATATTGAAAATTGTCCTGTTCTGAGTGATGTACTCCCAGAAGATGTAGCTGGTAATATAAGAATGGCTCTGCAAGTGCATCCGGTAATAAAAGGAGCTGTTATGATGTTTTCTGCTTACGGGGATTTCAACGCTTTCCCCAGGCGACTTAGAGAGGGCTGTTAGAGAACTGGTGTTAAACCCATTGATGTTCCCAATAGGAGAAAAGATGCGGGTGACAAAGGGAACTTGGTTGACATGTTCTTATTTGCTCTTGACAATCCTCCACCGTCCTCTATCATGCTAATCTCCGGAGATGTTGATTTTGCTCCAGCGCTCCACATTCTTGGTCAACGGGGATACACTGTAATTCTTGTCATCCCTGCTGGGGTTGGTGTTTCATTTGCCCTATGCAATGCTGGTAAATTTGTCTGGGACTGGCCTGTTGTAGCTCGTGGAGAAGGTTTTGTCCCTCCCTCAAAGTTGTTGGCGCAACCACGCGGAAGTTCAGTTGAGCTTGCTGGATATGTGATGGGATGCCATATCAATGATAGCTTGAATGGACAAAATGAAGAGGAAGCAATAGTTTATAGAGGGATGTCACAGAGCTATTACAACTCAAGAGAGTTTTCGCTGGTATCACAATCTCTATCTGAATATAACCCACCAAACATGTCTTGCTTGCCAACATCTATGAGATCATACAGCCTTCCAACTGGGTTGAATGATGTTGCTGGAGGACCAATGCTTTCTAGCGACAATACTGATTGCCAGACATGGGTACAGCCTGGAGATTTAAATGGTCTCAAGGGTCAGTTAATAAGGTTGCTCGAACTATCTGGCGGATGCCTTCCCCTGGTCCGAGTTCCAGCAGAGTACCAGAAACTTTACGGTACAATAGCAGTTCATCAACAACAACAAAAGCAATACTCCCACTGCATCGTATTTTCTGGCGCCACCGACACCACTCAGCTTCCCTTCTCGGCAACAACAGAACCAGATTGCGGTCCTACCTATTCAACATGGCGGTAACATTCAGATCATTTTCTGTGTATTATTGTTTTGTCTGTTGATTTTATTACGATTTTTCTTGTGTTTCTGGTTCGTATTTGGATGTTGTCATAAGTTTGTAGAGTAGTTTGAAAAATTCATTGTTGTTGTGCTCAAATGTGGAAATTTTGCTGAAACTGGACATATTGGGTCCTTTGTGTTGACACTACTATGCCTAGATTTGTGTGTGTTAATCGGTTTGCTACTGTGTCGAGTTAAAGGATTAAACCATTTTAGACACATGTCGAGTTGGTTTATAGTGAGTAATTTGTGGTTGTTGCAGTTTCGCATTGAAGAGGTTCGGTGCGTATTTGACTTTCCTGTCATTGCTACTATAGTTTTATTTTCATGTCAAAGCTGTGGTTTACTACATCATTATATTGTCATACTGTTAGTCGTGTGCATAAAGTTATGTTTTGTTTGCTGTTCGTTCCTGTTTTGGTGACCATTCTGTGCAGATTAAGGGCTAAATCTATTAGGAACTACATCGGTTCGTCACGTGGGCTACAACGAGTCAACAAAATCTGACAACAGTATTGAGAAGTTTGAAACACATTCAACATCACGGTTGCGACATTGCTAAGTCTTGTCACGCGTCAACTACACAACAATAGCTGAGATTCCCTCAACTTGCAGCAAACATCACCACGTTTGCATCCTCATTTCGGAAAGCTTTGAAATTCCGCGACGAGAAGACGAGTAATGACAACCAGCAACAATAGAGTTTCGACAATTCGGTAGTAATTTTGAGTTTTCATGCATATCTGTCATAATGTTGTTACGTTACTACATGTTTTTCGATGTTTTGCAGCTATGTTTCCATCACAATGTTGTGTTGATTTGACATGATTTATGTGTCAAGGTGTTAAACTCTTGCTTCAAATTAATTACGATAAACGCATTGCGTGCTAGCGACTTGCTGCATATTGAATTGTTGGTTTATGATATCTTATTGTCATTCTTATGTCAGTAATTGTTTAGCAGAGAATATCTTTTGGTGTTGTTGATAAAACATATTTGGTCAATGTTAAGTTCTATTGAATTATGTTATGTTTATGTACTGTGTGGTCAATGTGATGGTTTGTAATTGATATTGCTTCTATTTAGTGCATCACCATTTTGTTTTTTCATCTTTTCGATTTGTTTGAGTTTTGTTTTCTGTTATGATTATGTTTTGTAAGGTTTTATAAATGATTCTGAATGATGAATACTAGACTGCGGCAGCTGTTTCTGTTTCGGTTCACGAGTTGCGACATCGTTAATATTAAAGCATGGTTGATGTCGGTTACGCTTTTAGTCGCAACTGCGAGGTTTTTGCTTTGGTTGAAAGCTGAAGGATTTAATACTATGTTCTGCTCTATAGCTTAGGAATGAGGATGTTTCTACTTGCATAAAGTGATACCAATGTACTTTCAAGGATGTGTGTGCTCACGGTTTATTAAGTGATTTTCTTTTTTTTATCTACAGGATCATTATTTGTTCCATTATGAAAAGATATTTTTTCTGTTTTTTCTGCAGAGTGCCTCATATGTTTTCCAAAAGTAAATTGGAAATTGGATTTATGCTATGATAGTTAGAATATATAGAAATCAAAGTTATACCAATTAGTATTTCTCAACCCGTTTTAAAAAAAATAATGTTCATTTAATTTAGATTATTTGTCAAACTGTTTTCTTAAATAAATAACGAAAATAGTGAGCTCTTGGAGTCTAGCACTCCTTGAGTCCTTGAACAACTGTTATCGAGGCGCACGCCCTTAAGTTATGGTTGTTCCCTTTTCGATTTAAAAAAAACCGTTTTCACTCAATTCAATTAAAGCTTCTAAAAAATATTTTTAAATCAATTTTATTAATTAGATATTTTTATAATAAGTTCCAATTATTATTCTTTTAAAAGATGTATATTTCAAAATTATTATCAAATAATATTTTGAATATTAGAAAATTACATTGCATTAATTAAGTTAAAATCTTTTTTAGGATATTAAACTTTTTTTCAAAACAATTAAATATGACTAGCTTTTCTCAAATTTTTTATAAACAATTGTTTGATTTATTTTTATATATGAAGATTGAAATTAGTTTTCTTAATTAAATTAAACTATTTTTCAAAATCAAATTTCAAAACAATTAAATTCTTGGATCTCGCCTTCCTTGAATTTTTTTTAAGCGACCGCTCTCGAGGTGCACACCTTGAGTTGTGACCCTTCCGATCTTATTTTCAAGAATACCTAGCGCGCCTAGTCCGAGTACGCTAAATTATTCAAATTATTTTCTAAATCAAATCACGAAAGAATCGAGTTCTTGGAGTCGCGCATTCCTCGAATTTGAGAGTAACTACTATTGAGGCGTACGCCTTGAATGGTGTGTCGTTCGAACTTTCGTTTCTAAAACACTTCCTCTAATTACTTGGACAAGTACTTTCACTGTCCAACAAACATATTTTATAATTAATGGAATGAAAAAGATGTCGTTGGGATCTAGCATTCCAACGATATCCCGACTAGTTGATTACGAGGCCGACGTTTCGCTTTTCGAATAGTCATCGTTCCTCCTAATTTTTTCAAACCATCCAATCTCGTTCCTCACCTTCGTGCGATAGAGTCTAAACCCTAGTATGTCTCTAAACCATACGTCAAATCCAAACTATTTTCCTAATTAAAATTACGAAAGAATGGAGTTCTTGGAGTTTCGCATTCCTTGAATTCTTGAGTAAACACTCTTGGGGCGTACGCTTTAGGTTGTGGATTACTCGACCTTTTCGTATATAAGATACATGCCCTAACTATTGGGACAAATACCTTAATTGTCCATTCAAATATACTTTCACAATTAATTGAGTGAAAAAGGTATCATTGGGATCTAGCATTCCAATGATATCCGATTAATCGATTGCGAGTCTGGCGTCTCGTTTATCGAGTAGTCGTCATTCTCCCTTAAAATATTCACTCCAACTCTCTTCTCTCGCCCTCGTGCGATTGAAACTTTTCTCAAACATATTTCATAATTATTTGAAAAAGGTGTTGTTGGAATCTAGCATTCCAATGATACCCCGATTAATTGATTGTGAGGCCGACGTCTTGTTTATCGAGTAGTCGTCATTCTCCCTTAAAATATTTAATCCAACTCTCTTCTCTCGCCCCCGTGCGATTGAAACTTTCTCAAACACTAATTTTGAAGTTAGTTGAACAAAAAAGGCGTTGTTGGAATCTAGCATTCCAATAATGCCCCGATTAATTGATTGCGAGGCTGACGTCTCGTTTATCGAATAGTCGTCATTCTCCATCAAATTACATAACCAAACTCCTCTTTCTCGCCCCCGTGCGATCGAAACCTTAAACCTATTCAAATCTACCCTATTTTCAAAACCAAAATACTTAACCAATCAAAATCTACTCGCCCTCGTGCGATCCACAACTCATACACCTTTTTCAAAGAACATTGTTTAGTCCCTTCTTCCGCGCATAACAAACTCGTGCTTCAGCCTCCCCTAGCGAGCAGACAAGCCAATGTTTAGCAGTTAGAATGCGACTTAAACACTCGTTCATTTTCCAAACCTTTTACCGTAGTTAGCCGAACTACGGCTGCTCTGATTCTTCATTCTCTTCTGAATGTAAGATACATAGGCACAAGATTGCGATGATCTTGGCGAGCACAATCCCCCTTTTTATCCGTAGTCCCACGAACTACGAATGCTCTAATTTTCCACTTCCTACAAGTGAAGATACGTAGGCACAAGGGCCCCAATCCTTGGCGAGCATCCTATCTTAAAACCACCCATTCCCCCTATAGGAGAAACCTTTGAAGAAAACAAACAAGCATAGCTAACTTTACTCTCGAATCGATCAAGAGGTTCCCGTTGAGTACAACGGACGTAGAGGGTGCTAATACCTTCCCTCTGCGTAACCGACTCTCGAACCTAGAATATTGGTTGCGATGACCATGTTCTTATCTCCTTAAAGGTTTTATCGATATTTTCCTATTCCATCCTTGGAATGAATAAAGTTCGGTGGCGACTCTGTTCGAACGTTTTTCCGCGTCCATCGCGAGGATCGTATTTTTCGAGGTACGACACATAGCAGTCAAAAGAATGCTATTGATAAAACATGTACCTTTGATCGAACGTTCTCCATCTTC